GGGTTGGGGCTCAGGGTTTAGGATTCAGGGTTCAAGTTTCGCGGTTTAGGGTTTAGGGTTTCGGATTGGGGGTTTGGGCTGTAGGGCCTGGGGCACAGGGATTGGGTCTTGGGGTTTAAGGTGTCGGGCCGAAGGCTTGGGGTTAAGGGCTTAGGATTTAGGGATTAAGCTTTGGGGTTTAGGGTTTGAAGTCTGGGCCTGAAGGCTTCAAGTTTTCGAGGCGTTTAAGGTTCTTCGATTTTTTTTGGATGGGGGGGTAGGTGGTAAGGGTAGAAATGATCAGAATACGCCTTCGATTCAGAAATCAGTTCTAGTCTGTTGTGGAAAATACGGGGCTAACAGCGCGTAGCACTCAAGCTTCCAGAGTCGAGCATCACAGGATTACATGTGTTGTCTCTGGTTAGAAAGACATGAATGGAGGGACTCTTCTAGTAGTTCGTATAGACTCCCCAATGATACAAGAATGTAGACCCTGATTCATAAACACCCTCCCCTTCATAGGGATTAGAACAGGGATCCCAATATTAAGGCCCTTAAACTGAGGGGGCTTATAATCATGGGTGTGCATTACTCTAAGCCCTAATAGTAGTTTACATTTGAGTTTCCACTTTCCTAATATAACCTCATGATTGTACCCAAAGCCATATTCTATTTACTTAGGGGGATCTATACTCCCCAATGATACAATAGCTTCCATCTTCTTTTCCATTCCTCCACCCCCTCTGACCAGAGCTAAGATATCAGCGCTGCATTGGAACCGTAAAGCCCCTGCACACCTTCCATATCAAGGTTGGGATTTAAGGGTTTAGGGTTCAGGGTTTAGGGTAGGGAGCTTAGGGTTTAGGATATAGGGAGGCTAAAGAACTATGGAAAGCTTACTGACAATGTCAGCTGCGAGTCTATAGGAATGCAAGAAAGACACTGAGCTAAACTGCTGTAGGCATTCAAAACAATGTATGTGCTTAGACACAGGAAGCAACAGCAAAAACAGCCTAAACCCCAAACCCTAAACTATAGACCCTAAACCCTATCAAGACGCAATTGTCAAAACAGCGCTCAACATTTACGAGACAAAGCTTCAGGCCAATAGAGGGCAACTGGAGGAAAATCAAAGTCAGCATCCCGTCACCATCTGTCACCGGGCTTAACAACAGCGGGCTTGCTATCAACAGTAATGAGTCCTAATATACTATAGTAGTTTCCATTTTCTTTTCAATTATCCCTATATGATCCCTATATAACCCGATATGCCATAGTAGTCTCCATTTTCTTTTCATTTATCCCAACATAATTGCTTTGCGGGCGTGGTATTTTGACTCGATAAGAATATGCTATCATACTATAAGGAATGATCTTGTTATTGTATTTGTTGCGGCTATCATTCTTATTGTAGGTATGTTTACTCAACTTCTTGTTTGTACGACTATGGTTAATCATACCGTTGCGATCTTCACTATAATTGCTTTCATTTGTTGTGTGATATGCTGCTCAGCTACTCCGTTGTGGACTGTCATTTCCCCATTTTTACGCCACCCAAGTGCGTTCGTAATCTCAGACGGGCTGCACAGATGACTGCCAGCATCCTGCGCTGCTGCAAGGAACTTAAACTTCAACGGTCTTACGTTTTAGGGTTACGGGTTTGGGGCTTAGACGAAGTAGAGCTTCGAGTTGAGGGTGTAGGGCTTTGGGTTTGGGGTTTAGGGTTACGGGTTTGGGGTTTAGACTGATTAGAGCTTAGGGTTTAGGGTTTTAGGGGCTTTGGGTTTGGAGTTTAGGGTCACAGGCTTGGGGTTTGAGAATGATGGAGAATCGAATGGCAAGCAACATAACGTGGGACATAAACTGGAAACTGGATCTAGAGCTTGTGCTAAGTTACGTTATCAGTGCAAGGAATCCGGAATCTGTACCATATATCCCTATCATGGCAAGTCTTTTCAAGTCACACCCGAAGCCCTAAAGCCTAAACCCTCAAACCCCAAACTCTAAGCACTGTATCCCAAACCCTTGAGCCCTAAGCCCTAAATCCTAAACCCCCTAAGCCCTAAACCCCAAGCCCCATACGTATACTATAGATCCTTAAAAGCAACCCAGCATCAGCGGCGTTGCATCCCTGTAGTGATATCCGACAGCTCGGAGGACTGTGGCCCTACCGAGGCGATACCTGACTGGAAGGCAATTACATGGGTGTTTATGGATCATTTAGGGGTTTAGGGTTGAGGAGTTTAGGGCTTAGGGAATGGCAAGAGAGGGTTCAAGTTCAGGGTACTTTAAAGGGCGGACATGTCCATTGAATCCCCTTAGTTAGGCTACGAGTTATGCAACTCATGGCCCCGCCTACAACTTCCCCAGCCCAATCCCCCGATCCTCGGGTGAACTATAATCTGAATTCCTAGTATCCCCCTTAACAACCCCTATAGTAATCCCCCTACATACTCCCCTATACAACCCCTCTTTATGAAGTTTAGACTATAGCTCAAGTAAGCAGGAAAACGTAATGTTGATCCAGGTGCTGGAAGCCTTTAAGGCGAAAGAGAAGCCGCCAGGTGCTGCAGGTGGGTAGCAAGTACTGCTCGTTGACGTCGGCGGATGCTTCCACGAGAACTTGCACTATCTCGGCTGTAGGGGCCGCCACTGCCGCTGTGTGAAGTGCAAGGGCAAGCTCCGAGGCCAACATGTCTGCTTGGGCCAGGAGCTCTCGCAGGGCCTCCACACCACCAATGCTGGCGCACATCAGAGGCGTCAGGCCGCCCTGTGCTCTGCGCGGGTCTGCGCGAGCTTGGCAGAGGATTCCGACAGCCACAGCGTCGTTGGCAAAACAGGCGCTGCAAAGCGGTGTCAGAGAAAGGCCTCGAGCCCGGGAGTTCACATTGGAGCGCGCTGTGATCAGCAATTGCATTGCCTCGTGGCTGCCATAGGAGGCGCCTAACGCCAGCACGTGGCCTCCCAAAGCACATTCTTTCTCTTCCTCTGGCCTCTTTCCTTCACCTCTCTCACCTTGCTTCTCTCTCTCTCTCCCCGGCTCTCGCTCGCTTGATGGCCGAGCAACAGTACCTCTCCACATCTGGCAAAGCTTGCCGCGCCATGTCATTGGGATCTGCACGAAGTTGCAACAGTTCCTCAACTAGCAGAGGGCTGCCGTAGATGACCGCGTAGAGTAACGGGGACATTCCCACGATGTCTCTCTTCAGTGGATGTGTCAATCCGTTCTGATGCAGATACTTTGCAAGAGCCACAGAGATGGACACCATGTCCTCCCCTGGCTGAGAGTCGTCAAATCCTGGCACCAGATCTTGGGCGCTCTCGACAGGCAGCCCCCTCAAGCGAAACGGCTGCTGATTCCAAAGCATGCGATAACCTGTCAAGTCACCGTTCCGCAAGAGCCCACGAAGCTTGTTGAGCAAGACTTGCCGGATGACCGGCCCAATTTTCAGGCGGTCCTCATCCACTGTGTACACGCCCTCTCCTTGGTTGTTCGGATTCTTCCATAGAATAACGTCTTGGACAACAACCTGGTGAAAAAACATCTGCTGAAAGCCCACCAAAAAACCTTGCAAAACCCTGACAAGTGTTCAGAAACCCTTGAACACATGGTCACGGCATGGTTTCTAAGAAACATTGCAATATGAAAAAAGTATGCAGAGCATGTATCTTGAGCCCTGCTACTACAGTTATCAGTGTAGCCTCGTGAGGAATAGCATTTTGACCTTGCAGTATTGCAGTCGTTGGAAGGTACTGCTACAGTTTCTAGCCAAACTCCAGAACATACCAAAAAGCCCGCACTGCATGGGGTCCAGGTAGTGTTCTGACCTTTTGCTTGTCCTCTACAGCACATGGGAGTTTGCATACGTTTCTGTTCCCGGGATGGCAGTAAGTAAAATACGGACCAGCTATGATGAAAGCCCAAAGCGGTTTACCCTACTACTGCTCTCCATACTACCCCCCCCCTAGGGTCCGCCTCATTCACCTTCATTAGCCCTGATCATCCTTAAATAACCATCGTCAACGTCACCCCTAAACCCTAAACCTGAACCTGGGGAGGAGGTACAAGAAATTCAGACAACAAATATTGTACCTACTATTCTTGTCATAATTATGAGTACACCTATTTTCATGATATGGGTGGTTGTCAAAATTGTGGTCCCTTTTTGGATCTCTATTTTAATACGGCACCTAATATTTAGGGTGCCCGAAAAGGGACCATAGTTTTGACAACCACCCATAGAATTTTACAAAAATAAAAATCCTTGCGGCATGAGGGGCCTGGAGGCCGCAGGCTATCCATCGTGGACGCCTGCCCCACGCAATTGGGGTTCGGGTTTTAGGATTTAGGGTTTAGGGATTAAGGTTTAGGGTTTAAGGTTCAGGTTTATGGCTGCGGGTTTTATGTTTCGGGCACAGACTGCAGAAGGTCTGGGGAGTCTGGGGCACAGGAGCTTCATTCGAACGCCCGAAATATTGACCCCATGGTGCGAATACAAAACAGCTACTGCAGCCTTCCCTACCCTAAACCCTAAACCCCTAAACCCTAAGCCAGGACTCCTGGCCAAGCAGAGCAGACAAAGCACAGCCGTTGACATGCACACACGCCAAACCCAAGCCTGTTCCACGTGCGTGGGACTTTTCACTCGGATCCTCAGCTGTTCTTGGGGCACCCACGAGGGTTATTACACGGATTCTGAAGCCAGTTTGAAGGCATCTACCGGAAATTGCAGTCCACTTAAAGCAGACCCCACTTGAGGGTCTGGGCACGGAAGACAGCGGTGGAGCTGGGAGAGTCAGGCTTCAAACTTTGCAAAGTTTCTGTGAGATTCGCTGTGAGCGTGGTCTGAAGGTATCATGAAGCCTGTCCTCGCATCTAGCACAAAAACTTCGGCGACTCCAAAAGAAGGGCCCTGTGAGACCTGGGGGAGGCCCGGAGAGCAGGGGGCGAGCATGAGAGCATAAAGCCAATGACTTACTGGCTCTTCGTAGGGAATGAGGAATAAAGCCCCTATATAACCCCGGTATATTACACTGCCTTATTCCCTACTAATTACGAACCAGTAAGAGAGCGGACACGAGGATCCGGAACATCGGACGGAGAGTGACTGGGGTCAAAGCAAGGCTTGTGTCAGCACACAGTTTAGAGTTTAGGCGGTTAGGGTCTAGGGTTTAGGGGTTGAGGGTTTGGGGGTGATATACGGATTATACAGGGAAAATGGAGAAGAGATGGAAAGTACTTTTTAAGGTCTAGAGTTTAGGGACATTACCCGCATAATGAAGAATCAAATGGAAAAGCACATGGAATTTGAGATGGATGTTATCATATGTAAGGCTAAAAATGAGGATTCTCTGGTAATTTCCATAAATAGGAGGGCCCCAACATACGCCGACATCATCGAGATCCTGAAGGAAGCCCAGAAGATCCACATACCCAACTGCTTTAGAGTTAGGACGCATCATTCCTTCTGTAGTAAGGTTTTGGGGGTCCTATGGCGACAATTTTTCGTCATCTTATGAGCCATAGCTTTCAACTTCTAATATCCCCCTACATATATAACCCCCTTTTAGGAGTTTAGATTATGGCTGCTATCTTGGCTCAAACCCCGCAAACCCTAGATCCCTACGTAGACTCTTGCAAGCAGACCTACAGCACTTGACCCACAGCCCTAAGCTTGGCTCTGAGCTAGATACCCTAAATATACGTAAAACCTGATCTAGGGTAAGTTTGGGGTTTAGGGTTTAGGGTGTAGCCCTGCTGACATTAAGTTATGGCTTGATAGGGATTGTACAATGATTGAGGGTAATAAACTATTCCAAATCATGCTAAAACCTACACCTGTAAAGAGCAAATCCCATGCCAACTGGCCACACAAAACCAACTTCATCAATTTCCAACCTGTTGGTGGCGCAGAGTCAAAACAAAAATGCAACTACTCGGGTCCTAGGGCTCTGGAAATCCGAGTCAACGGCTTCTGGCAAATTGGGCTGGGGCTCCTTAGCCCTAAATCCCTAAGCCCTAAACCCTAAACCCTTAACTCTGAAACCCTAAGTTCTCAAACTCACCGGCTCTTCTACATTGCTGTCGGGCTGCAACAAACCTAAGCAAGCACAAATTGCACTGTGCCATTCAGAGTAGTCGGCACGTCCAATAGTAGGGTTTAGGGTTTAGGTGTTGCGTCGTGGCAACAATATCAGTAGCAATAATGGTAAGACTAACCCATAGTAATAACAGAAACCATCAAAAAACAAATAATGATAGTCATAGTAGTACGCAATCATAGCTCGCATCTATGGCAACAGAATCAGTAGCAATAACAGTAATAATAGCTATAGTAACGATAATAACCGTCAGAATCAACATAATCATTCAGAACCAGCATCTATATGAGTCTAAACTTCGCGTATCCCACTTAATAACCCCCATAATACTCCGCTATATGATCCCCTACATAACCCCTTTGAGGAGTTTAGACTATAGCTCATATAATCCACTAACCCCAAACCCTAAACTAAAAATAGAAGTTTCAGCTTCTTTTCCATTATCCCTGTATACCCCTAATTTTACTGTATACCCTATACAATGTCTGTGTAATCCCTATAATGTCGCTTGTGCTTTGATGTCATGGCTAGCAGTGCGTCTGGAAGCCTCAGCTTACGACAGGGGCCTAAATGATTACCAATATTAATTTGAGGTCGATTTTGAGGTGCCATAAGCCATAATTATATACGGCATATGCAACCAGAATGCTGGCAATTATTCCCTGAACCCTTAACCTGAAACCTTACCAGTATTGGCAAGTGTTTAGTCCCCTATAATATATATATATCCAAGGAGCGCCACGCCTTGATGTGAGGATAGATTTCGCACCTTACATGTCTGGGCTTCAGGGTTTGGGGTTTAGGGTCTAGGGCTTAGGGTTTTCGGGTTTAGGGTTTGGGGCTTAGGGTTTAGAGTTGGGGCTTCCTTTTTGGAGGGTTGGGTCCACATACTAAGGATTAGAATATGATGAGGCTCCACAATAAGAATTATAATGCATTGAGGTCCCTATAAAAAGGATCATAGATGATGATAACGTATTGGGGTCCCTTCACTAGGGATTACAATATCTTGGGGTCGCCCAAGAAAGGAAAAAGGTATATGGGGGTTTATCGGGTCTATAGTGGGAGACCGTTGCCTTGGGAACTAGCAAGAGCTCACCCAGCGTTGAAACTGTTCTAACTTAAGCAACTACACGCCCAGGTTTAGGGGTTTAAGGAGTTCAGGGAGTTTAGGGGTTTAGGATTTTGTGGAAACTTGAGGAGTTGCTGTAGGCTCATGGCATTTCCGAAGGGCACCAGGCGGCAGGTAAAACTCGACATTCAGAGATTTGCAGTTGGACTCTTAGGTTGTACCCAAGGTTTCGGCAGCCCTTCAACCTGTACAGGGGTTCTATATGAGCTGCAGCCAATATTTCCTACAGAATTTAATGGACATGGGTTCCTTATTTGGGGCTATACAACGGACTATACTAAACTACAAGAGGGACCTCTATGTCTAGTGTTAAGGGATGTTGACAGTGGCGCATACAAGCGAGAGATGGATTTTGGGTCTGATTGTTAGGTCCCCACCTAAATCATTCTTAGCAGCCACGCAGGTACACTAACTAACCCTGGGCTCTAATCCATCCCCGTAAACCCTTCAACCCTAGACGCTCATCCACAAATCCTAAACCTCGACATTCTAAACCCTAGACCTGAATCCGCAAAACCCTGAACTCTAAAACTTAGTTAAGAACAGCCCACAGGTTGAAGGCTTCAGGATTGTGGGTCCATGGGCTGACTTTGAGAAGCACGCGCCTCTTTTGCAATGTTTGGGGTGTTGGGTGTGGTGTAGGGGCCTGAGGCAGCTACGCATACCAGGGTACCTAAGTTGTTGGAAGCGCGGATACAGACAAGCGCGCGCGCTGCCATGCGCCCGGAGCAGCCAAATGCGCAAGACTGGAGCCACGGGACTTGAAGATCCTAGAACCTACAAGTGTTTTGGAGGTTAGGGTTTCAGGCCTAGCGATAGGCTCCGAAGCCCAAACTCTACACCAAACCTCCCAGCAGCACTCCACAGCTATATGAATATTTCCCAAAATCAGGGGTACCATTTTGGGGGTCCCTATAATGAAGACTATAGTATTATGGGGTCTATATTGGGATTCCCTTATTTGTTGGAAACTACCATATTCCGCCCAGCTACCATGTGCTCAACGCGGCACCACCCTGGCTGGCGACTGAAAGTTGATGTCTGCATATTTTTTTGCGAGGGCTAATGGTTTGGTTTACGGCTAGGGTTAGGGTTTGAGGTTTAGAGGTTAGGGGTTTCGTGAAATCTGGCTTCCAGTTTACTCCGGGCATCTCGGTAGTTATAGGTGCAGTTCTAAGTCCCAAAAATGGCCTGCAAATAGTTATCCTGACTAGAACCTCATAGATGTATATATACCCCATGACTATAAACTCCGGAGTATGGATTCCTAATAGGCTTTCCGCACATACCTAGTATAAGGTGCAAATGCAC